TTAAATAGATTCTTAAAGGAAATAGTCTTTACCCTATTAACACCCATCCTCGCTCAAATATCGTCTATAATATACAAATTACTTTCTTGTTCTAGCATCCTCATCCAATTGCTTGCTTTTGCACAGAATGGCCCTATTTGATCGGTGGAAAGGGTTTCAGAGTAGAGGAAAAAATATTGTGTAGGAAAAACAAAATGGGGTTCCATATTAGCAACCTCTCCTCTAATTAATAATTAATATTACTAGCAAAAAAGACTGGAGGAGAGGCCAGTGCAATTATCCGTTTGGCTCAAGACAGGGAGGAATTCCAATTGATGGTCGCCAACCTCCGATGAGGAGAAGGCACATGAAGAAGAAGGTTCTCAAAATTTTAGCAAAAAATAATTTTTTTTTCGAAATTTTCAAAGTAAAATAACTCCATTATTTTGGACTTATTTGAAAAACGATAAAGAGAAAATAAGTTTCTTTTATCGAGATCTACCACCCTTTAAAATACTTGCACTTATTTCTGGGATACCCTGTTTATAACAATACACGTGTGAATAAATTTGCAGGCAAAAAATTATTTACAAATTCCAGCGGACATAAGTGGAGAAACCTTATCTTCTTCTTAACATTCTGTGAGATATTCTCTTGTTAAAGCGTCTAGATCGTGGTATTGGGTTCACAGAGCGTTAAAAATATGCCGCGCGGGATAAATTTGACAGATCAAATAAAACAAAATCATAATTGAGAAGTATCATTCAAGAATTAAACAAATTGATATTGCTAGTCACTTCAATTTACATAAAAGTGTTATGTGCAAACAGATTAATTTGTATAGAAATCGTGGGACAACTGCCAGTATACCCAAGCCCGGAAGACCAAAAAATAAACAACTTTGGCGACAGAGAAAATAATAAGAAGATATTCACTTAGAAATCCATTTTGCACTGCGGAGGATATAAGGAACGAATATCCCTTTATTTCAATATCTGTTAGGTCCATTAGACGGCGTCTGAAACAGGCACAACTAAATGCCAGAACACCTGCCCGAAAGCCGTTTATTTCTAAGAAAAATAGGCAGGCCCGACTACAATTTGCATTGGAACAAAAATGTACTCTGGTCGGACGAAAGCAAGTACAATCTATTTGGTTCGGATGGTATTAGGTGGGTGAGACGTCCTGCCAATGAGATTCAATCCCAAGTACACCATACCCACCATAAAACACGGAGGTGGGAACGTTCTAGTCTAGAGTTATTTTTCTGGGCATGGGGTCGGGCCCCTTGTTCAAATAAATGGAATTATGGATCGTTATATGTATTTAAATATTTTGCAAAAAACAATGATACCTTATGCTGAATACTCTCTCTCATTAACCTGGAAATTTATGCACCATAATGATCCGAAACACACTGCCAAACTTATTAAGGAATTTTTAACCGAGGAACAAGTTGAAATGATCAAATGGCCAGCTCAAAGCCCCGACCTGAACCCTATAGAGAATCTATGGGATCAACTAGAAGTCGATGTTAGGCGTAAAAACAGGGACAAATTTAAAAATAATGATGTTTTGTTCGCTGCCCTATTACAAGCCTGGAATGAAATATTCGGGGACGTAATAAAGAACTTGATTGAGTCTATGCCCAAAAGGTGCCAAGCAGTCATCAAAAGTAAAGGCTATATGCAACCAAATACTGAGACTAGCGACTACAAATGTATAAAAAATACCAGTTTCTCCATTTTTGTCCTCATAGAAATTAGTTTAATTTTTTCAAAATTTAATAGAGGCTTTTTCCAAAAAAATCTTGTGTGTATTTTTATGAGACAGTTATCCTATGTATAAATATATATGCTTTATAAACATTTTCGTTCTTGTAAAACGGCAACAAATAAATTTAAAAAGTTTCTCCACTTTTGGCCGGTACTGTATATTTATACGAAGATTTTTACTTATTTTTATCTCGAGATTATGCTGCCAAAGTTTCCCTAATAACAATTCGGACGACTCTGTATACTGTTGGATTTTATTAAAATACCGCCTTTTTACCACGTTTACATACAAAATTTCCACATAAAAATTATTTCTTGGAAATTAAACAGACTGTTTAGACTGTATACATATGGATAGGATAACAGCGTTCAAAATTAAGCTTCTCAGAGTGCTTGTGCTGAAAACGCCAGGGCGCTAAGCCTACCCTTTATTAAACATTCATTCAAAATTGTATTTAACGCAAAGTGGAATTATAAAAATCCAACACTTAGGTCTTAAACCGCAAACTTCATACCTAGTCCCGAGTGGCGGCGGAAAAAGCCATATTTCAAGATTTACATATTATTACGCTTACCTAAAACGAGTTATGCTCGCGGTAAGGTTTAAGTACGTCGGGGTTGTTTACATACGAGGACAGGGGATGTGGGATATTGCCTTGGAGAAGTGTTGTAAAATTTGAATATAAGTCTCCAAAGGGAGAAAGTTTCATAGTTGTTAAGATGGAAAAACTTTCAAATACTTAAATGCTCGGAAATTCTCTTTCTTATGACTAAGTATATTAAATATCTTCCAAATTAAGGAGCTTACCTCAAATAATGAAGTAGTCAATATCGTATACTTTTATAAAAATACTAGCGTGTACCCGCGACTTCATTCGCGTCGAATTAATCATTTGTAATGGTGATGATAAAGCAAAGCAAGAATTTCCATTAACATACAAACTGGATAAAATGTTCTCACATTTATGTCAGCATGAGAAAAAAACAATATGGCGATATTATTATATAACTTGGTAATATTTGAGGGGTAGTTTCATCTCGTTGGAATTTGACTTTCGAAAAATCCGTTTGCCAAAAATAAGCTTTTTACGTCAAGCAGTTTAAGCAGAATCGTGGTTAATCAATTACCCAACTTTTTGGAACACCCTGTATGATTTTAAAAAAAAATCAAAATATGTAAAAAACAAAATAAATTATGGGTGCCCAAGCGTTTTCTCGAAAGACTAACCGTTTTTTAAATAACAAATGTTGTAATATTTGAGGGGCGTTTTCACCCTCTTGGAATTTGATATTCGAGAAATCCCTCCTTACCGAATACCCCACAGTCAATCCGTTTGCCAAAAATCAGCTTTAAGCTTGTTTCATATAGACGCGAATCGCGAATTGCGATTTTGCGAAACTGTTCTCATTGGTCCAATTTTAATGATCATGCAGCGCTGTGTCAGAAATTTTAAGATTTTGGCGATTCGCAAGATTTAAAATTTGGGGGGGGGGGCGGGAAAGTTAAAGTGTTTTCAACTTTTTGCGAATATTCGCGCGATTTTAAGGTTCGCGTTTGCGCAGAATGGTGTTGTGATCCGGTTATCGATTATTTTGACGATGCTGCCACAAAGCAGAGCACAAAGTACCAAAGCAGAGACCAAAGTACAAAGTAACTGAAAGCATTTCTCCAGGTGAAATGGGTTCTCGTGTATATGTTTTTGATATAATATGGTGACAATTTTTCAACCAAGTTATCAAACTCCTGTACAGACAATCTGTGAAAATTCCTAAATTTTTCCTCATCTTTTGTCCTCATTTTCTTGAATTAAATTGCGATAAGCACCTTGTTGCTTACGAAATTTAAATATTTCACATGTCCCAAATGACCTATAAACCCGTTCTATTCTACGTTTTAACAATAAGTAAATGGCAATTTTGCATCTTCTGTTCCAATCCCACAATCATAATCAATATTCATAATCATTAAACAAATTTAAACTCATATTGTATGCTATAAAATATAAAATAAAGATCGTAAACACGAATAAAAACAAATTAAGTTATCTTAGGTTATGATTTTTTTTTAGTAACTTTCAGTGGAGCAAAAATGAAATGTCCCTAAAAATTCGCGACTGTATGAAATAGGTCCAAATTTTGCGAATATTTTTTGGCGAATCGCTTTTCGCAATTCGCGATTCACGTCTATATGAAACAAGCTTTAAACGTCAATCTGTTTAAGCAGAATCGTGATTACTCAATGGTCATATTTTATGAAACACCCTGTATAAATTTAAAAAAAAATCTTAAAATATGTAAAACAACAAAATAAAATATACGTGTTTAAGAGTTTTTTTTCTGAAAAACTCTCCGCTTTTAAATAATAAATATTCTAATATTTGAGGGGTGGTTTCACCCCTTTAGAATTCGAGTTTCGAAAAATCCCTTCTTATCGAACTTCTACACCCTAAAGTCAATCCGTTTTCCAAAAATCAGCTTTTTACGTCAAGCGCTTTAAGCAGGATCGTGATTAATCAATGACCAGATTTTTCAAAACACCCTGTATACATTTTTAAAAAATCTTAAAATATGTAAAAAAACAAAATAAAATATACGTGTTTAAGCGTTTTTTTCGGAAACTGGACCGTTTTTTAAATAAAAAATATTGTAATATTTGAGGGGTGGTTTCACCCCCTTGGAACTGGAATTTCGAAAAACCCCTTCTTATCGAACCTCTACACTCTAGAATCAACCTGTATGCCAAAATTGAGTTTCTTCTTACGTTGAGTGGTTTGAGCAGGATCGTGATTAATCAGTGTCTCAGTTACTTAAGGATTTTATACTAGTATAGATATCATAGTTTCCGCTTTTAAAATCTAATTTTTTCTTTGATCATGTTTTAAAAGTCTTAATTGCATAATCAAAAATATCAATTTTGTTAATTTAAACTGATAAGCTAGCAGTGAATAAGCTGCATGTGAAGTGAATAAACTGTTGTTATGTAACATTTATAAATTTTGTTTAGTGTTTGTAGTTTTTTTTTTGCTAGAGTGAAAGGCGAAGCTAATGCTATTTTGCAGTACGAATGATGTGTCGATAGACTTTGGTTATCTTCTTTGGTGTTTTTTTATATAAACTACTAACTGTAACTTCTGACGTACTTATTTAATTTGAGACTGATACATGACCGTAACTCAAGATAAACATTATATTATTTCTTGATTTTACAATAGGATATTTAATTAAGTTTAAATATTTCTGTTTCAGGTTAATAGTAAACCTTACTACACCAGCTTTAATGCTGTGGAACGAAGAACTACCAACAGACAAGTATGTCCGGAACTTCTACCTAGAAATAGAGGGCCATCTACAGAGCTATAAGGAGGCTTTCGCTGATGAAGCTGTGTGGGCTGTTCTGAGTACAAGGCTCAGTAAGATTTTAGAAATCGTAAGTTATTAATAATTTACTGCTTATAGGATTTTAGATAAATATAATTAGCAAGGTCAATCTCACTTATGACATGATGATACATTTTTTCACTTTAAATCGTGAAACGTAACTGGCTTGACTATAAGAATAATCACACTGAAAATAAAGGCCACATTGGATATTCTTGAACAGCCTCTACACTATCCCCGAAATGTTTTACGAAATATTTCGTAAAACATTTTTAATCCATGTTATCTTCCGGTGTATACTGTATATTTTTAATATAAGAAAAATTTTGCTAGTATAAGAAAAATCTAGTGCATATTATATAATTCAGATTTAGCTTTATTAAGCTTAATAAATCCTAAGCAAGTAAAAGGTTAATACCGAGTAAATATTAAAGGGATGCTGATGCTCTAAAATTTTTTTATTCACGGCGATGTTAATTCTAACGCGATCCATTATCTATTTAATTATGTTTCATAAAGGTACATCATACATTTAAAAAAACATAGTCAAACAATCAACATAAATAGGAACAAAACTTGTACAGAATTAGACAAACTACAAAAAATATATATGCACACAGCGGTTATATACAGGATATTCAGTACTTGGTACACTCCAGAGCGTTGGTATTTCCCTCCGCCAGATCACTCTGATTGCATATGTTTGGGAGATTTGGGCATACGAGAAGATGCCTCATATTTTGTTCCTCTCCGCATTCACAGGATACAGGTCCGTCAAGGTAGCCCCACTGGTTCATGTTTGTCTTGCATCTTCCAACCTGTGTACGCAAACGGTTCAGACTCCTCCACACCGGCCATGTCTGTTCCGCACCAGGTGGTAGGCTCTCTTTTGGCCTTAGAGCAAAATCGTTTGGAGTTGTTGAAGTTGCTGACCACAACTCTAGCCTCTTTGCGGATGCCGTGCTGCTATTAAGTGGCTGGACTGCAGAAAGAAAACTTTTTCGAGATTTCAACCTGGGTCCAGCGGCGTATTGTCCGAAGAGCGGGTGCCGGGTATCGGAAAGAGCTTGCTGTTTCTCTTTCATGCTGGAAACTTGTCTCCTTATGTGGGGTGGAGCTATCCCGCTGAGGAGGTGTAGCTGTTGGACCGATGTGGGTTTTAGGCATCCGGTGATTAGACGGCACGATTGGTTCAGTTTTTTATTGTTAACCCAGATTAACAATAAAAAAACAACCAATCACGGCGCGTCTCGATCTATTTCAGGAAACGTGGGAACAAGTTTTTATAACACGGGCTTATATTTATCGTACTATTTTGTGAAATAGCACGCAGCAGTCAAGGCCAAACGTTGTGGTGGCTTCAGAAGAATAAGTAAACATGGAGCGTAATGTAATACCACTACATTAAACTGATATGAAAAATCAAAAAGAGTGCATTTAGAAAACAGTTACTGATGGTAGATTAAATTGGCCATTCCTCTAAGGTTACACGAGAATATTTCGTTTTAATCCTTGTCTAACATTGTTAATTACAATAAAGTAAAAAATATATTTCCAAAACTTAAAGTCGTAAAACTGCAGGGCAATACGCAGTGACTCTGTTCTGGCGCTCCGCATTTTATGGGTTATAATTCATGGTGTTAAATTATTTAAAAAATAGCCACGGTGTAAACGAGATGATTAACGAAATATCATCGTAACAGCTATTTTAGAAACGTCTAGATTTACTTATTTCACTGAGATTTATGAAAAAAAATCCTTTGTCTCGGGTACAGATACCGCTACGTTTTGGAAATAGTTCAAAACAAAACAAAATTGAACGAGGCAACAAAAAACGTCAAAAAATCCCCCCACGCTCTCCTCACGAGTAGTTTTCCGGTGCTTTTAAGAATCGAAAGTAGGTCGAGGCAAACCGAAGTGGGTCAAGATAACTGGAAATGAACTGAAATGCAACAAAGTTGGGCGATGAAATGCGACCTGGACCTGCTTCGAAGAGTTCTCCACATAGTGTAGAGGCTAGTTAGAGAGTAAATATTTTTTTGTTACAAATTTCGATAATTTACAATGATAAACATTGACAAACAAGCCTACAAAAATGTTTCTCTTTAAAATTCTTTCCCATTTTTAAATTTTTAAATCCATGTTACCTTCCGGTGTATACTGTATATTTTTAATATAAGAAAAATTGTGCTAGTATAAGAAAAATCTAGTGCATATTATATAATTCAGATTTAGCTTTATTAAGCTTAATAAATCCTAAGCAAGTAAAAGGTTAATACCGAGTAAATATTAAAGGGATGCTGATGCTCCTAAAATTTTTATTCACGGCGATGTTAATTCTAACGCGATCCATTATCTATTTAATTATGTTTCATAAAGCGTAATAAGCAAAGGTAGCATTAATTCTAGGGTTTAGTTTATTACGCCTCCACGGCGCCTAGCCTGGCTTTGGTAGACGATGTGCTAATTTTAGTAAGAACTAAATTGGCTGTGTGAGAAGATACCGTTAAATCGGAGCATCGATCGACGGGTGGAGTGGATATCGAATAAAATTGATATTATGGAGTTGCTTATACGGCTTGTATTATAGAGAAATATGAATTGGACAATATGAAACCTTAAATATAGAATATTAATGATGGCACATTCCGATTCACGACTGTATGCCATTATCAAGTAAACTGCAATTAACAATAACAAACACATGCAAAATTAAATTCAAGTTTTACGGCTCGCATAAATAACCATTGCATTTCGATTTCGTTAATTAACAATGGACGTTCGTTAATGTACACGAAATTGGACGATTACGACTTTGATGTTTAGCAGACCTTCCCCATTAAAGCTCGGACGTCGATGCCGTTTAATCAGAAATAAATCTATAATGGGACATATTCGGTTTAAAATAATGACCGTGCCGGATAGCACGAACGAATGTTTCAAATAATAATTTCCCGGTATTGTAATACTGTGTACTTCATAGGGAAAAATGAACAAAAAATAATTATTACCATTGTACCGTTTAGTAAAATGAAAACAACGTCACTGTAAAAGTAGAAATAATATAAATAATAAAAAAATACGATAGACAGACACATCTACAATGGTCTACATAAACCGTTACAAAACATTCCCCTTTAGAACGTTTTCTTTAATGGTCATAAGCGGGAGTAAATGACCAACCGCCCGAACAAACACTAGAGGTGCCACCGGTCATTAAATGGTGTAAAAATTGCGAAAATTTAATCATCTAATTTTGACACAGGGGGTCGCGCTTTTACAATTTTAATTCAATATTCTTTGTTTTCAAACTATATTATTAGACTTTGTTGTATTTTGTATACATAAATGTTTTCTTAGTATAAAGTTGCATTATAGTAATTTAAATTATATTACATACATATTTAAGATTCAAATATTATGACATATATGTCAGTTGCCGTCTAAAATGTCATCTTGATAACAAAAAGTTAGTTATTATCTTTGAATAAGAAGACTAAGGAAGGAGCATATCAAAAATCTTAGGTACACCGCGATAGGCCTCAAATATGGCCGACTTAAATTCCGGTTTATCAGTGTCGTTCTAATTTTATTTAAAAAATGTAAAACTATGATGTAGGGTAGACGTGGGGTAGACTCAATAATTTGTTGTTTTATTTTACGTTGTGAATAAATGCTGGTAGTTATTAAAATTGTTATAAAAATATATAATTCTAATAAAAATAGATAAGTTATAATAAGTATTTATTACCACAAACATCCGATACGCTACTGAAGCAGGTAAGTCAAATTAACGTATCCAAACGTATCTAAATTCTTTGACATCTAATCTTTGACAAGTAATAAATAAAAGCTAAAATGCAAGAAAAATATATAATTTAGTTAATTTAAGTGAATTTCATAAATGATCGGTTTATTACACGTATGTATATTATATAGTCACTAGCGAAAAGTTGTTCCATTATTTCACTCGATTTTTGCCGAGATCTACCGCACGCTACACCACCAACTATTTTAGAGTCTTTTTCGATAAATCGCGATAGTGTCACTGTTAATTAAAGTTCTGCCACAATTTCCATCTAGATTTACTACCTTTATACAACTATCAGTAGTAGAATAAATAATAAATAACATAAAATAAACTCCGTAAAGACTGACAAATCCACAAAATTTCAAATCAAATTCAAATGTGTCAAATGAATCGTCAAACAGAACTGTCAAGGATCCCCACCCTAGAGTGCTTTTATGGTGCTTTTTCCGCCCACCATGCATGAATACATGGATAGCATTATGCTCCTTCCGTAGTCTTCTTATTCAAAGGTTATTATCAAAAGTAAATAAATAAAAATAATATACTAATAAAACCAAGATACCAAAAAACTAATACTACCAAATAACTAATAGAACCAAAATACCAAAAAACTTTTGGTACCTATTTCTGTAAGCGTTACGAAAAATGTTTTTTATTCAGTTTTTATTTATTTAGGGAGGTGTAGCAGGAGTAAAATTTCGTCGAATTCCTCTTTTTTTTCGGATGTTTTCGACGCATAATTCAAATACCTAAACCGAAAACAAGGCATAAAGAACGCAAGATAAAGGACGTGGAAAGTAAATTAATTAAAGTTTTATGGGGACATTATTAAAAGCCTAAATCGCAAGTTAAGCGCTTAAAGAAAAGACCCTACGGGACGAATTTAAGGTTTCTTTTTTCTTTTTTTTCTTCGTTTTTTAAGAGCATTCTATTGTTAAGGAAAGGAGTCTTGGAATCCTTTGTTCGGAAATCTTTTGTATTACGTCTTGTACAATGAATTGTTTTTCTATGTTTGTTATAATTTAATAATTATTAGTTTTTTTCATCCAAAAATAGTCCTGGAGAATGACAATGGATGTTAATTTTATTTTTAATTAAATAAATAAGCTAGATGTAATTTACTTGGCCCGTACTTTTCTTTATTTTTTAATGTTTGTATTGAGTAGAATACTTTTTAAAGAGTGAAATGAACCGCTAATTTAAAAATATACATATTTCTATAAATTTAAAACATTCATTTTTAAGACACTCTGTATACATAAATAAAATTATTGATTTTTTAAATATTATTCGAGAGGGAAATCAGATAAATAACAGCGATAATAGATGTTAGGTAATAGCTTTTAGACTACCATTCGAGACGCATTGCTGTTATTTTGGTTATTGTGGCAAAGAATGTTATTAAAGGTAAAGTAAATGTGTTAAAGACAACTTTTTAGCGTTTTCTTATTGAATTCGATAATTATTCTTCAATTTCAATTAACATCTATATGTACTTGATATGTGCTATACGTCGATACTAGTTTGGTACCTTTTGTTAACATTTTAATACGTTTTTTTCGTAATTAATTAGGATGATACACCATAGGCGTAGTCAAAACAATTATCAAAAAATATAAATATTGTTTCAAACAGCTAGGTTAAGAACAATATGTGCCACGGCACTGTTTGGTGTCATCGTCACAATTTGCTCTCGGGTGTTATTTGTCCTTGGATTCTTTAGTCATTGGTAATTTCGGAACATTGTCCAAATTGAGAACTGTTTGGGTTGACTTGCGCATTAAAGCATATTGGCAGAAGTGTCTAGTCCTAGCAGTGAACTATTAAGCTTGACCATTCAGGTTGGTTAGCGTGGTTATTTGGAGTGTGTTAATTCATCTGTGTTTGTCAAAAACTCTAACGTGATTGGTCGGGCTTAACAGTTGCCTGCTAGGGCTAGACACAAGTATATTGGCAGGGATTATCGATTTTTAACAGCTGATTCTGGTCCGGCGTCCAGCTGATATTTCTGTCTTGGTTATTTTTTAAGAATTCCAATACCTACGTGTGCTTTATACTTTTGCTTGTGAGTTTCTGTTTAGTAAGTCGTTTTAATTAATTTTTTATTATAAAATAATGTTCAAAGATTCTACCACTGCAATGAAATAACAGGAAACTACGCGTAACAGGATCATAAAAGAGGGGATAAGTAGGTAAGTGAGTTAGTGTGAGTATACAGTTGAAACAACACTTATCAACAATTACTGGATTCTCATTCTCCTTTTCAAGAATAATAATTATTACTATTGCAAATTGCAAACAAAAATAATAGGATTATGTTATGAAATTCTAAACAAAAACAAAAAACCGATCGATACACGCACGCTTGGCACTTTTGACAGTCCCGAAAACAATCCACAAAGCGTTCCAACGTTGATACTTTCTGCACCGTTACGAAACTATTATAATAAGTATTTATAAATGGACTAGTTGAAGCCTGGTGCATCCGCCACATCAGGAAAAAAAATACTTTTTATTTTTTTTTAATTAAATGAAAAACAAAAAATCCGGCGATGACAGATTTTAGAAGAGCCAATTAGCTATCTTTTAGTAAAAAAGCAACTTTCTAGAGCGTTAAACATTTGCATTTTATATATGTAGATATGCATTTTATTTAATTGATAGTAATTATAGATAAATTATATTATTTTCTGCGGAACAAATTTTACAAACGATATACATATTTGTTTTAATATTATAGTTATTAATTATTTTTTTTATAGTTATTAAAGGATGTAAAAAAAATAAATTAAAAATTCGCCCATGATATAAAATAAAATTTTTATTAAACTGCTAAAAATATATAAAATTTATTATAGATACATGTTTAAAAACAATAAAACGTTTTTAAAAGGTTTTACACAAACATTTCATATTTCAGAATATTTTTTTTTAAATTGTTATTTTATATATCATATTTACCTATAAATTGCAAAAATAAATAAAAATATTTTAGGTAGTAAAAAGGTAATATTGCAGATATTTTGATAAAGCTTTTATTGTATGTTCTTTGATTAAAAAAATCATATACAGTCAAAACATTATTAAATAATCTTTGTTTGTTAAGAGCTAATTATCTGAAACAATAAATTTATGTTTGATGTCTTTTTTATGTATTTAATTTTATATACAAATCATTTTTTTTTAATACTTTTTATTACTAATAAACTGTGAATATTATTTGTTCTTTTTTATTTTCTATGAGATACTTTTTAGTGTGATCTTGCATGGGGTTAACTGGCAACTAATTTTGACAATTTTCTTTACAGGAATACACTTTAAGAGGAGATGAAAATAGTCTTATTATTGAACGCATACTGATATTAGTGAGAAATGTTTTGTATGTACCAGCTGATTCAATGGAGAGACGTCCAGATAATGATGCCAGTATCCATGATCAAGTAAGTATACAGACCTCTGATTATTCTGTATCTGTAGTCTGATTTCTATCGTGTAAAATAATGAAGGGGGCATCCTAATGGACATTCAAACATGTTAGAAAGAGACAAAACGTTCTACAGTCTGTCCCCGGATTGTCTTTACCACAGGAAAAAAAAAAATTATTATTGACATTTTGAGAAAAATGCATTCTTCATAAAAATTTTTGCTTGTTTTAAAATGGTTAATCCCGTTTATACTTTTCTAAATTTCCATACCGTTTCAGAGAAATTTAAAAAAATCATGAAAATGTAGTTGAAGTCCTAAAAACTAAAAGGCGTTTCTATGGTAATATAATTTCGATTTCATTCTTTGATAGATTATTATTGACATAATTTTAATAAACGTCATATTTTTTGTTGTTTTAAAATGTCAAAGAAGCACAAAATTTATTTAATTCAATGCTACAGAAAGGGTGATAATAGCCTTATAATAGTTATCGGAAAATATGATATTTTAACAACATCAAAAAATATGACGTTAATCAAAATTATAACGATCTATCAAAGAATGAAATCGAAATTATATTACCATAGACGCCTTTTAGTTTTAGGGCTTTTTTTCAAAATGCTAATAATAAAAAAGTTTTTCCTTTTGTAAAGACAATCCGGAGACATACTGTATACAGTATTGCCGGATTTTATTAAGAATTTTATTAAGAATCGACCAAGAAGGCTCTTTAAATTGCACTGCACTTGGCGCCAGGGCATTAACATATCGAATTCTTTTAAATTTCTAATATCTCAGATTCTGTTGTGCCACATGCTTCCTTTTTATTTGTACCTCACTAATCTTTAAGTCTTTACACCAAATTGTAATAATTTATTTGTATTCTATATAATCAACTTTACTCAAGTATGAACTAATATCAATCCTAAATCTACTAGGCGTATATACTAGAGCATGTCTTTTACTTCTGACGGAGTTGGATGAGGTTGTCCACTGACGACGCCATCATTGGCACTTTTGATTAGTGGTTGCCATATTGTGGGACATTCCATACTTGGACCACTGAAGATGTTATTATTGCTTGACATAAAAACGTAGTAGAGGGAGATGGCCGATTCTGCATCCTCCTTCCGGCGCAGGAAGTGACGTCAGACGTAAATCAGGTAAGACCAGTTAAAATACGCTAATAAACAAGAATAAACAGGTTTGAACCGCTTTGAACTGCTTTTGAACTGCTTTGAACGGATTTGAACTGCTTTTTAGCTTAAAACAACAAAACCTGTTTATTCTTGTCTATTAGCGTATTTTAACCGTTATTAGCTGATGACGTCACATGCCGTCACTTTCTGTGCCGGGAGGAGGATGCAGAATCGGCCATCTCCCTCTACTAATCGTATCTTTTAAATTTAAACTTCTTTCAATGATGTTTTTTTTTTCTGGAGAACTCAACCTTCTGACCACTTTAATTGATGCCAACATTCAATGAGTGTTGTCAATTCTATCAAGGCACTCTTTATTTTCAAGATTTTTATATGTTTAATTTAGGGAAATATTAATAAATTCATAATTTTAATCAGCTTTTGGGCTGCATTTTTAAATTGGCAAGGTGGCAATATTAGTAAAATTTTGAGAGAAGGGAAGTGTAGGAGTAATTGTACTTTCCTCATGCTAGTTCATCGGTGATTTCTGCCATACTGGTTCAAGTTTATTTTTACTTCATATTTGTTTCAAAATAATTGGTATTTTCATATTTTTATCGTTTTTATTGTTTTTATAAACAATCGAAAAAAATCGTGTAAAAAGCGCGAAGGCGGCTTATTTTCAATGCAAAATTCCCGGCCGTCGCCACGTGTCCAACAAAATACCTGTTTAATACCAAATAAAACCAGTTTATTACCAAATAATACCAGTTTATTACCAAATAATACCAAATTAGTACCAAAACTACCAAAAAAATACCAGTATTACCAAGACCATGTACAATAAATACCGCCAGGGGTTTGCTCCTCGGTTTTCTCTAATACACTTATCTTATTTGTGATACTTTATTTTAATGAAACGAAATTTATTCACTTCCAAAACGATTTACTTTTATCCTTGGCAGTTATTAACGTAAAGCTTTATATTATTTTATATTATGTTGGATTTCGGTATGAAAGTTTGAAAAGGCAAAAAACAAGCCGCTGTCTGCGAAGTTTAAATCAAAATAATGCCGATGTGGTGCCAAAACCAAACTTTTAAATAAACGCCAAGTTTTTCTTACCCGCTCTCATATTTTTACTAATACATATATATTCCAAATCTGTTCCATAACTTTGTAAAAAATAATGGAAAAAGTTTTTCAGGCTTTTTTGGCGTTCCTAAGCACGATAACTTTGTTTTATTATTTATTTGGTTAAAATATTATACCGAGAATAATATGTTTTGTATTATTTGCCTTAAGGGCTTTTAGTAAAATATTTTCTACCCATTATATCTTTTATTATACAGGGTGTTCAATTTAAATTCAACATGCTATTGCCGCTAAAAATTAGTAATTATTTAGAGTTAAATTTTAGACACCCTGTATGAGTTAGTAATATCTTTATTATTGCAATACATTATGCGGAAAATAAAAGAGTTTAATACATATTTCTTTTTAAGAACTTAAATACGCTTAGAGACATAAAGTATTAAAATTGTTTCTGTATTTTTTACCACCCTGTATCTCAAAAGTTAAGACATTTAGAACTTAAATATTTGCATATCCATTAAGGAATACCTGGTATATAATAACTATTGATTTTTATTTTTTTTGTTCTTCAAAATTATTTACTAGTTTAGTATTATAAGATTGCGATTACATACAGGGTGTTTCAAAAAACATGTGCCATCTCTCGTGGGGAGATTCCTCACGTAAAAATAAGATTTATTCATCACATAAATATAGGTCGGATTCTGCTTTGTTTCGTAGCTACAGGGTGTTTAATAATCTAGTCTTATCTAAGTCTATCTTTAAGTCTTAATGATCTTTCGATTTATTATAATTTTCTTGCAAGTACTTTTAGTGATTTGAATGAAATTTAAGGGTTACAGTTTATATAAGTGCTACATATTATTTTTATGCTAAAAAAGTGTCGATAAATTTATCAGGGACGTGCATATGGGTTATCACTGGAATATTTTTGAAAAATAAAACATGTGCGCCACTGACTCTTTTTCTTTTGATATAAAAATTGTGTAGGCCGTTTAATGCCAATTAAAAGTTATCTCTTGATATTTTGTCGCATTCGGCCTCCTTGATGAGATAAACGCAATTTTATTAATCAAAATTAATAAAATTAAACTAATAATAAAATTATATATTTTAACTAATTTATTATTAAATATTATTACTATTAGTTATTACTATTAGCCCAACATACATCAATTTCAAATAAAAAAATAATGGTATTTAAGATAATTACTACAAAAAACCTAATTTAAAAAAGTTTTACATCCTGTAACTTTAAAACTATGCATTTTCATGCCCATGTTTATAGGTTTCTACTTTTTTTCATATTTTTTGATGAGGAATCAATGAGTACTTATTTAAAATTTTCGTAAGTTAATGATAATAAAATTTTTTGGAGGTTGAATCAAGGCAAATTAATAAAATTGCGTTTATCTTGACAAGGAGGTCGAAATTGACAAAATATCAAGAGACAACTTTTACTCGGCATTAAACTGCCTACACTATTTCGCTAACAAGAGAAAAAAGTCAGTGGCGTACATGCTTTTTGTAGAAAAATATTCCAGTGATAGCCCAGACGCATGTCCCTGGTAAATCTGTCGATACTTTTTTAGATTTAAAATATGACGTATTTACATATAGTAACTTTTACCCTCAAAATTTCATTCGAAACGCTAAAATTACTTGGAAGAAAATTAAAATAAATCGAAAAAATATGAAGACTTTAACACCCTGTAGCTACGAAACAAAGCAGAATCGGACCTATGTTGATATGAAAAATAAATCTTATTTTTACGTGAGGAATCTCCCCACGAGATAGCAAGTGTTTTTTGAAACACCCTGTATAGATAATAATAATTCGGTTTCCCTAAAACAATTTAGCTATTCAAGCCCACCCATTTCCTCTATAAATAACCCTATAATCTGCTTTCCAGGTACTTTGGGCGCTCCACCAATCCGGCATGCTCGACATCATCCTCTACGTAACGAGCTCGTCGAGCGAGAGCGCCTATTACCTGCATATCCTCGAAATCCTGTCGTTCATGCTGCGCGAACAGAGGGCCGGCGATTTGGCCGGCGCCGCTTTGCAGCGCAGCCAAACGGAAAAAGTGCGGGACGAGGCGGAACTTTTGGCCATTCGGCACAGGGAGACCAGCGAGCGACAGAAGAAGAGCAAAATGTTCAGCGGCACTAGGTGAGCCTTACAGTGGTTAACGCGATTATGGGGATTTATTGTGTTTGTGTAGGGAGCTGTGACGAAAACTTGATAATGTCACGAGACTGGAAATATTAAGGTTTGAAAATAATAAGTTTTTGTTTTGAGTATAAAAATATGAGGAAAAGATGGTAGTTTTTAATAATTACAGTTGGCCGTTGGAACCTTTGATGTTACACAGCAAAATAAGATACTAAATCACCACAATACACCATAACACTTTTACTTTTTAGCATCATCAGCAGATGATTAAAACTAAACTAAAGTCTACAATTTGAGCGTTTATATACTCGCTCAGTTGGCACCGAGTGGGCGTGGCAAGATCTAGCCAACCGAGTCTGAGCCCACCGAACGTAACAATTAATTTCCGCAACTAGAGTAGTAGGAACAGAGAACTGGAAGGAATTGGACCGTTGTCTCTGTTCATACTATCTTTAAATTTATTAATTTTGACGCTCCCATATGCATCTAATTGCCTGTAATGTAATTTGAGACTTGTTTAACTAAGTTTAAATTATTAATATCTATACAATGTTTTTTTATCAACAGTATGTTCAGCAACACAAGATTTATCCGGTCTACCATATCTTATCTGAGCTATATGTTCTTTAAATCTAGTTAATATTGATCTTCTTGTTTGCCCAACATATTTCTGATTACAATTTTTACATGAAATTTCATAAATACCCTACCTTTCTAGTATAGGTGTTATCTTTACGGTTACCTAATAATTGTTGTAATTTATTATCAGCACTATACACAAGTTTATAATTGACATTCTTAAAAATTCTTTTTAATCCACGAGATAACTCTCAATCGAACGGTATTGAAAAATATTTTTACGTATCTTTCTCCACTTGAAAAGTGGAATCTTCAGCAATCGCAAACTTATACATACGTTTTCTAATTATTTTATCCACTGATGAAGAAGCATATCCATTACACTCAGCTACATTCCGAATGTAATATCTTTCTATTTCATATCTTTCGTTGGTAAGTGGAAAACTAAGTAATCTATGAACTAAGAAATTTAAACTTGCCATCTTATGTTCAACACTATGACACGACTGATTAGGAATGTATCTGCATGTAGTGGTATTTTTTCTATAGATGTCAAATTCCAGGCAATTAGTAGTATTTCTCATAACTAGTACATACATAAAATGGTAATCTATGGTTGTTCTCAATTTCATAGGTAAATTTAATTGAAGGAAAACGATTATTTAATTTAGAAATAAAATTATCTATGGTGTCAGAATGTGTGTCAAAAACAGCAAAAATATCATCCACATCCCTAAACCATACTTTTGGAAAATACCAACCAAATCTGCTCAAGAATAGATTAGCCTAAAATGGGGACAATGGATTACCCATTGCCGTTACCATTGAAAACAATTTTGTATCATACATAGCGATTGTAAGCTCAATATATTCAATAACAGTTTTGTCGTCGAGACCATTTGCGTTCAGTAATTCCTACAAGCCCAAAGTATGTGGAATTGGAACGCTAGGGAACAACGAAGGTACATCAAAAGAGACCAAAATTTCACCATCATGTAATGTTATGTTCTTAATTTTGTTGATAAACCCTGCATTGTTTTTAACTGATAAAGAGGGCTCATGATTAGGTAAATTTTCGAACTCCTTTGATAACCATTTTGCCAAATTATAAGTCGAAAAAACCTACAGCCGAAACAATTGGGCGCATAGTTTGAGTCATATTTAAAACTAATCGTTGCTTAGGTGCACATGATTCTTGTTGAATTGTATTATATTTTACAAGTGGACTTAAAGATATTGAGTGTAATTTAACTTTTTAGTTGCGGGTTTTTTAAAAAGGAATTTAAAAAACGGATCCGCAAAATTAGGATAAAGCCTGGTCTCATCACACTCAGTTGCAGTTTCCTCAATTTCATATCTAATAAAGTTTGTAATAGAGACCTGCATTTTTATCCCTTTTATCCTTTATTAAATTATCTAGTCCGAAAAAAGTTATCCTTCAATTAAAATTTCCCATTTTTTACTAATGTAATATCAAATAATCTGACTTTTTAACCGAAAATTCTACTTTTTAATTAAGTCATTTATAGCCTATTTTTTCGTGTTATAATATCTATATTATCTTGTTAAATTTAATGGATATAATATGTAGCGTTTACACATTGAGTATCAGATTTAGGTCAATAATGTATCAAAGTTTATAATCGCGGCTTGAAACTTGTTCGGGATATGATTTGCCGACAGGTACACCGTTTGTTTACACGCATAATTACTTGACTTTAGATTAATTAATACGAACTTTCCAACATGTTCGATACATGTCATGTATTGCGATTGGTATTGTTCTAAATATTGGTAAACAAAGAATGTTAATGGATAAAGGTTGCTTCCGCTGCGCTGTACGTAGGCTACATTGTTGCACAGGATAATTATAACATTTTGGGGTCGACATATATAGGGTGGTTGAATAATAGAGAATGTTTGGCTCCAAAACCGTTAAAGATATTGTTTATTTAAATAAATAAATATCTGTATATAGGTAAGGAACATGGAAGAGAACGAAACTGAAGATCGTCTTTGAAGATATCTGAATGTAAGATATTCCTTTGCCAGACATGTATAGATTAAAATAATACTATAATATACTCTATGGTAAAAATAAAATTTTTTTGGATACAAATTTCTATCCACTGATTTGGTTTTTAGTTAGAGTCAACTCAAGTGTCGAAACAATGAAAAGTTTTATAATTTTTTCTATAGGCTTGATGCATTTCAGTTGATTTCAACAAATTGCGACCGCAGCGCTTCAACGGCAGAAATGAGTAATTATCAGTATGTATTTCACGCCGCCGCGCCGTCATGTTGATCGCATTAAAATAATATTGAAATAGTGGTTTTTTCATAATATTTAAGTATTTTAGTTTTTTGTTGGTGCAGTTATTGAGACTATAAAACACTCAGGTACGAGGTTTGTGTGATGTAACGCTGTTTCGGGTAGTAAAAAATAAGTGAAAAAGAATTCGAACTAGGCGTCGTGTTGTGTTGTGACAATTTCAAATGTTAATAAAATTGCCGAAAAAATGTTATCGCGTAAAGGAGAGCGTAATTAAGGCGTTGTTGGGTGCAATAACATTCAATAAGTAAACTTTCCCGAATATTTAACTCTCCCGAAACAACATTTTATAGCTTCATAGTTTCTCACACCGATTTGATCAAAAGCAAAAATGGATTCAAGCACTTCGACGAAACAAGTGAGTAAACAAAGTGCTCGTTACATAACCAAAAAATTAAATAGACATAATATACTATGAGAGGATAAAATATAATTCGCAATATTAATGGTATACTTTTTTTAATGAACTAGTGATTAAATATTTTATGAACATCTTCTAATATCATAATTAAGTACCTTTAAAACATTTCGATATAGCCGAAATAGCCCTAATTATGCCCCACTAGCAAAACCGGTGATTAAAACTATCCTCTACCGTAGTTGAACTAATAATAATAATAATAATAACGTTTATTAAACATTTTCTCTTGAAATTAAAACAAGATACAAAATAGTACAGTACAATACAACATAATATGCTACTATATCTAATACACATTATCTAAGCACAATTTAACTAAGACTAAATTTAAATTTTAAGAATCGAAATAAACGTTAAAAGAGTTACCACAAAGTAATAGAATTACTTGTATGTGGAAAGGAATACAATTTAATTATGACAATATATAATGTTCACTGAAAATTTATTTTGTATATTTTAAGTTAACTAGTTCATTAAATATATCTCTACCTCGATCAACCATCCATTTGCATATCCCTTTTTTAAACCCAGAGTAACTTTTAACATCCTTTAGGAAGGTTGGTAAGATGTTATATAATCGAGGTGCAAAAACTTTGAAGATCTTTGTCCAAAGTTTTAGAGCATAAACTAGGATAAAACGCCTTATGTCTAGTTTCATATTCATGGTCAACATGTTCAATAGATATTTTCCCCTGATAAATGAATTTTAAAACATCTAGGCAGTATAGCTGACGTATATCCAGTAGATGCGCCTGCTTAAAGAGAACGTTTGAAGAGAAAGTTTTCTTTTTATTGTAAATAATTTTTATGAACCATTTTTGAACAGAATACAAGCTCTTTAAATGACATTCAGCCGCACCACCCCACCCTAGAATTCCATATGTCAAATGAGATTGTACAAGGGATGAGTACAGGATTCTAAGCTGTTTGACGTCCAAAAAACTTTTCAAATAATTAAATTTCGGCAACAATCCTCGCAATTTTTTAGTTACATTATTAATATGAATATTCCATTTAAGATGTTTGTCGATTGTAACCCCTAAATATTTTATAAAATCACATTCCGGTATTACATTATTATTGGTTATTTGTAATCTGTCCCAATCTGGTTCATTATTTTTATAAATAGAGAAGGATATATATTTGGTTTTGTCATAGTTTAATGTTAATTTGTTTTTGATAAACCAGGTATTAATTGTCTGAAAGTCTTCCTCTGCTAATCTTTTCAAATTCGACCAAGAGTTAGATTTATAAAATATCGCTGTATCGTCTGCGTAGCTAAAAATTTCTGCTTTTGTATTAATTGTAAGTAGATCATTAATATAAATAACAAATAATAACGGACCCAACACAGTGCCTTGTGGTACACCATGCTCAATCCTTCCTGGCTTGCTATTAATATCTCCCAAATTAACATATTGTGATCTGTTCTTAAGGTAACTTTTTAAAATACTAAGGCTGTTTCCTCGTATTCCATATCTCTCTAATTTGTCTAAAAGTATTTTGTGATTTACCGTATCAAATGCTTTAGCGAGATCTACGAATATAGCGAATATATACGGGCTTCGATGTCCCGAGTCTAGAGCATCATAGATTGATGATGTCAATGCATGAACAGCATCCTGTGTTGATTTGCCTTCTAAAAAACCAAATTGATTTTTTGATATTATGTTAAATTTTAGAAAGAATTTTAAAAAACGTTTTTTTATAACTGTTTTTTTTAGAAAAAAAAAAATTTAGAAAAAACTGATAATATAGATATCGGTCTATAATTGCCTATATGCTCCTTATCGCCCCCTTTATATAATGGTTTAATTACACCTACTTTAAGACAGTCCGGAAAACAACCACTTTCGATACAATAATTTATCAAACACCTTAAAGGCTTTGATATATCTCCCGAAATTATTTTAATAATATCCGAGCTAATTTTGTCATAACCAGGAGCTTTTTTATTTTTTAGATTTTTTATTATGTTTATTATTTCGTCTTCGCAAGTTTGACGTAAATACAGACTGTTTTCCAGACGGTTTATATCACAGGTATTATTTGTTGAAGATATTTTAACCGCTAGTTTTTCTGCGACAGTACAATAATGATCATTTAACGCATTAGCTATCTTTAATTTATCAGTATATACGTGACCTTCTTCGGTTTTAATTGTATTTATATCTTTATTTTTTTGTGTTTTACCACATATTTTATTTATACACTTACATAGAGAAGAAGATGTCTCTTTGTTTTTGTTAAATTCTCTTTTTATGTAATTTTTCTTTGCAGTTGTTATTAGTGACCTAATTTTATTCTTATAATTATTATAGTTGTCTTTTAATTCTTTATTTGTCGGATGTAGCTTTAATTTATTATATAATTTATTCTTTATATTTATTGACTTAAGAAGCCCAGAAGTCATCCACTCTTTTATAAAATGAGTGTTTTTAGACTTTTTAATTTCTACTTTTTTATTTATTTCTCATCTATTTTTTTTAAACTGGAATAATAAATTATAATACAAGTTAAACCTTCTGAAGATATCAAAATATTTATTTTTTTATATTTATTTTTAGAATTTTCACGAATACTTCCTAACGCTTTTAGGATAATTAAATAATACATATTTCGTGTACTGGCTATTTAAACTCTTGTATTTCTATATATTAGTTGTTTACGATATTCTCCGATGGTGGCAGCACCGGCAGAGAATGCACCAAGCCTATAATGGAAGTTTATTTTTGTCAACAGAATTGTTTAGCGTATCCTTAATCCCCTTAATATAATAAATAGCTTTTAACCGAAAACAATTCTATTTCAGGCATTCGAGATTTGGAGGGACGTTCGTAGTAAAATCGATGAAGTCAATTAGCGACAATGAGCTTATTTATCACAAGCCGTTAAGCAAATTGGACGCTTTAAATTTTGACGCCGACAAAACCAAACCGAAAACACCGAAAAATCGCCTACCGGTAAGTGAAAAATCGTTACAGGTTTGTATTGGATGGTACACGTTTAATTACAAACAGGGAAATTAACCTCTGTAAGTCAGATTTTTATTTAATTTAGGAGGACGTGATTTTTGTAGTTAGATATTTTTTAATTGGGTAAAATAAAGCGTTTTAATGTATTGCCGTTGTAACGCCAAATTAACAGTGACACGTGTGTGACAGTTAAACAATGACACGTGTTTCATTTCATTCATTGTATTAGTAAGTTACGACGAACTTTTTTATTATTTGTTATTTATTTGGGTTCTTTCTTGTTAGGTCTGATCTTTGAATAAGAAGACTAAGGAAGGAGCATATCAAAAATCTTAGGTCCACCGCGATGGGCCTCAAATATAGCCTACTTAAATTCCGGTTTATCAGTGCCGTTCTAATTTTATTTAAAAAATGTAAAACTATGATGTAGGGTAGACGTGGGATATTTTTTTTTATTTTACGTTGTGAATAAATGTTGATAGTTATTAAAATTGTTATAAAAATATAAAATTCTAATAAAAATAGATAAGTTATAATAATTATTTATAACCATAAACATCCGGTACGCTACTGAAGCAGGTAAGTCAAATTGACGTATCTAAATTTTTTGACATCTAATCTTTGACAAGTAGTAAATAAAAGCAAAAATGCAAGGAAAAATATATAATTTGTTAATTTAAGTGAATTTCATAAATGATCGGTTTACTACACGTATGTATATTATATAGTCACTTACTAGCGAAAAGTTGTTCCATTATTTCACTCGATTTTTGCCGAGATCTACCGCACGCTACACAACCAACTATTTTAGAGTCTTTTTGGATAAATCGCGATAGTGTCACTGTTAATTTAAGTTTTGCCACAATTTCCATCTAGATTTACTACCTTTATACAACTATCAGTAGTAGACTAAATAATAAATAACATAAAATAAGCTCCGTAAAGACTGACAAATCCACAAAATTTCAAATCAAATTCAAATGTGCCAAATGAATCGTCAAACAGAGTTGTCAAGGATCCCAACCCTAGAGTCCTTTTTCTGCCCACCATGCATGAATACATGGATAGCATTATGCTCCTTCCTTAGTCTTCTTATTCAAAGGGTCTGATGATGCTCGTATGAGCGAAACACGTGTCACTATTTAATTTAATATAACGTTGAAATATAACCATAGCCATCTGAGGTTCGCAGACGATATTGTCTTGCTGAGCACCGACATTCAAGAACTAAACACCATGCTAAATGAGCTAAATGACCAATCCCAGAAAATTGGCCTTAAAATGAACTTGAAGAAGACCAAGATAATGAACAACAATATCCATAACATTACTGTTGACAACGTTATTATTGAAAACGTAGACCATTATATATATTTAGGTCATAAAATCAAGCTGGGCAAGGAAAACCAAAATACGGAGATCAAACGCAGGATCCATTTGGCATGTGTAGCATTTGGAAATATGAGCGATATTTTCAATGATAAAAAGATGCCCATTAACCTAAAGAAAAAGGCTTACGACAGCTGCATTCTACCTGTGCTTACGTATGGCTTAGAGACTATGGCAATTACTCGAAAAACAGCAGAACAACTACGAGTAGCACAAAGAGCCATGGAAAGAATTATGTTGGGAGTTACCATTAGGGAAAAAATACGGAATACCCACATACGGCAAAAAACAAAATTAATAGATGTCGTTAAAAGAGTGGCAAGTCTGAAGTGGCAATGGATAGGACATGTGGCAAGACAGGATCCAGACCGATGGCCCCAAAAAGTAATCCTATGGAGACCTAGGGGAACAACAAGAAGTGTGGGCCGACCAAAAAAGAGATGGGTCGATGACGTCAGGGCAGTGGCGGGAAGACAATGGATAAGATTGGCTAGAGATCGCGAAGCATGGAAAAACCTAGAAGAGGTCTATATCCAAGACTGGATGGAACCAGGGAGAAAGAAGAAGAAGAAGAACGTTGAGACCGAGACTTTCAGTCTTTTTTATAGTTCTTTTTACATTAAAGAAGATTTTTGCAATTTGCTGCCATTACAGTTTTTTTGTTATTGGCATGTTGAAAATATCAATAAATTAATAACAAAAAAAATACAATTCGTTACGAACTTTTCGTCGCACTCTGTACCCGTACATCGATTATTTTTGACGCCTACGACACCATCACTTATCAATCATTACACTTTAGCACGCTGCCAGCCTTAAGCACATTGTCAATATTGTTGGTGTTTGAATGGCAATTCATTAGTTATGAGTCGGTGGGATCCAGTTAATTTCTACTCCAGGCTAAAAGCCAGTAAGAGGTCAGTGGATGTATTGTTTCCGCTTGAGCCCTGTCGACGTACCCGTCATACAGTCCTGGTCTTTTGTCGCAGCCTGATTGAATGCTTCTTGATTGGATACGGGTTTTGTCGGAGGCGCGAATGATCGTTTGTGTTTTGTTAATGTTTTATGCCGGTCACGGATTAAGTTGCTCCATTGTTGAAGCTATATTTTGAACTTGCATTGAATAATTTAGTATACAGGGTGGTCTGAACTGTATTCCGGATACTTCGGCAACATATTCTGCAGATAAAAATAAGTAAAAAAGTCCGTATAAATGTACAGTATTGGCCAAAAGTGGATGAACCAATACCAATAATTACGCAAATAATGTGCGCACAGAGCGCACACACGATTTTTTTTATTATGCTTATGCCCTACAGTTTTGGGTAAACATAACTTATATAAAGCTATCGTTGAGCCCATAACTATTTATGCTTTTGAATTCTCGACCATTAGTAAAACATACAAAAAGAAACTTGAAGCTGTCAGAAAGAAATCATTACTCAGAGATAATTACAATGGTATGGTCATATTAGAAGAATGAATGACGAAAGGTCCAGTATGTTAGATAACTATTATCCCATAAACCCAAGAAAAAGAGGCTCAGATACACGGGAATGACATGAAAGAAACAGGCTTTTTAGACAGTGATTTGCAAGATTCTTCTAAACTTCTGGAGGTTGATATGCAGAATACGTCGTTAATTTAAAAAAAGACGTATAGATTTTTTGGCTTCCCTGGTAACAGTTTACCCACCTACTTCCAGTAATTGTAAAATCTTTTGTGATCTTTCATTATGTGCATTATTGTATTTAACGTACCCTACCTGTATTCTGCCTGTTATATGTACCTGGCAGCGAATCCCTGTCTGTCGTAGAGCCTGAATTCGGGCGTAATGCAAAATGCATTTATGCAGCGCTTAATAATTCACACTTGTTTATCCTTTAGAATTGCGTCTACTGTTTGGAGGAACGATTTTAGCGCTCTTATCTACTCCGTTATGTACGCTCAATTTATACGAAGATACAAAGGGATTATCTTTGCACATTTACACATATACATGTGTATAAACTTGCAGGCACAATGGCTCTGGCATTATCCTTATATTCGCGAGACCACGTTTAGCACGGAAGTAATTGTTATTGTCTCTGAAGTGTTCAATAAATAATAAAATCAATTGAGTATTATAAGAGTTAAAGGAATTTAGACAGGAAAGAATGTAATATGCTGATGCAATTAAAAAATAATGGAATGAATATAATATAAGCATCAAACTGCCTCTTAAATTTGAATATTGCTGTGTGTGTTTGCTGTTTCAAAATGCTGTTTCAACAATAATTGTAATGTCTTTACCATTATATGACATGTTTCTTTACTGTGATCTATGTGTAGAGATATTTACTGTATCTATAATATAGTCCAGCGGGGGAATCCATGAAAGTAACAGTTTGTACTGTCTGTCCTTTTCATTCACAGATAAATGGTGTTTTCTGTCATTTTTTGGAATGTCGTCTGTCGAAATCTTTTTTGACTTGTTGGACGCACTTTAGGTAGTAATTTGTACTAATTAATAATAAAATTGTTATTCTATTTTACATTAGATTGTGAAAGGTTTTTGCTACAACTGTAAAGGTGCGTCCACATTGCTCGTGATTCTGTTCGCGCTCTTCCTTCTGATTATGCTTGCGTTGCTTGCGCTTCCTGTTTGTCGTGTTTTTCAAGATCTTTCGGCCTGCAAGCAACGGCGTCCACATTGTAATGTAGTGCTTGCGTTTGTGCTGTTCGGACATGGACGATACCGGAGTATATTTAATAGCGGCTGCTAGTGCGATAATTATTGCAAAACGAAGGAGATGAAAAAAAAGGCGGTGTTGGATGTCTAATAATTTCTAAAGTAGATCCCAGTGAAACATAATGAAAGTAAACATCTACGGGATTTACAAACAGACAGAATGTTTTTTAATATTTTTTATCGCATGTCCGCTACTGATTTTGAAAGACTTATTAACTTAGTTGGCCCCCGCGTAGAAAGATAAAATACAACTTTTAGAAAGTGTATTCCGGTTAAAGAAAGAGTTAAATAAAGATTGGCCATAGCATTAAGATTCTTTGCAACTAGAGACTCACATACCAGTTTGGGTTATTTATTCAAAGTTTCCAAGCAAAGCATTTCAAAAATAATACCAAGCTTATGCCAAATCTATATATATAAATCTGACTGTCCTGACTGATACTGACTCATCAACGCCCAGACCAAACCCTTGACCCTAGAAAGCTGAAATTTTGCACAGGGGTTCCTTTTATGATGTTTACGTAAGATAAGAAAGGATTTTTAGAAATTCATCCCCTAAGGGGGTAAAAAGGGGGGTGGAATATTACAATATTTTTTATTTAAAAAACGGTCAAGTTTCCGAAAAAACGCTGAAACACGTATATTTTATTTTCTTTTTTACATATTTTCAGATTTTTTAAAAATGTATACAGGGTGTTTCGAAAAATCTGGTCATTTATTAATCACGATCCTGCTTAAAGCGCTTGACGTAAAAGCTGATTTTGGAAAACGGATTGACTTTAGGGTGTAGAGGTTCGATAAGAAGGGATTTTCGAAACTCGAATTCTAAGGGGTGAAACCGCCCTCAAATATTAGAATATTTTTTATT